ACCTAAGCAAAACAACGTAAAAGCACTTAAGGAATAGCACATTACTAAACCAACCACCCACCCACCGCCAACTCTTGAACTACTCTTTTTATGGCTGAAAAGGCGAGCATGTTTGCTAACGGGTTTCGACCCCCAGATTGTGAATCGGATGAATAACCATCAGCCTGTGCCATGTTCAAAAATTAGCTTATAAACAAGCTATCTGCTCTATGTCCACCACGGGAAATCGAACTCGGATTAAAGATACTGGATAACAAATAGTACACAATGACAAACTCAGAACTGTAGTTTTAATATCATATCTCAACTTTGATCAGCTCTGCGATGTCGACGATAAGTAATGTCATTCAAAGAAGTTCATTTCTCCAAGATATGAGAAACAGTTTGGTGTAAATGTTTTTATACACCATCTTTCTTTTCTTTCAATGTAAAATAATAGAAAGTTAGTTGTAGAAAATAAGTAACAAAAACGTTAATGACATTTAAGGCGTAGCACATTTGTTGTCAAAATTTCTTGTGAGCGTTTATTCAAGGTTTTCGTAGTTACTGCGTCAGTTTTCTCTAAACTTAACTGCCTACGTTCAAAATACTTAAAAGTTGTCTTTCCAGTGATAAAAAATAGCCGGAAATGATTGGGAGTAAGTCTTACGCAAACCAAAGTCAAGACTGGTGTCCTTCAAGTGATTACGTAACCCGAACTAAACCACTAAATATGTAAGGAACTCTGTAAATATCTGCAGGGTATTAATAAACGGAAAGTATCGGTGGTTTGCTACACTATACCGAAGGAAATTGCACAATAACTTACATTACATCGATTAAGCACTTCGGCATCAAAACCTAAGTTACAATCAAATGAATAGTGCTTTTCGTGTTAATGCGAGTACGGCTAAAAGTTTTGAACTATTCGCATTCGCTTTTCAAAATGATAGTAAACATTGTTTGCAAAAAAAAAAAAAAAACACGTTTTATACAAAGATATTCTAGATTTATTGTAATATTGCATGCAATTTACGCTATTCATTATCAAGGTCTTGTCAGTGTTTGAAGGTTGATTTTTGCAATTAGATATATTATTTGGATTTTTTGGCTACTGCATTCTGTCAATGTCATTTCAGTTACAAATGTTTTGTTTTATAATATAGTTACATAACTTAACTTCCACTACACTTCAAATTATTTTTTTAAAATAATATAATTATGTATTATATCAACTGTTACGTATTAGAATTTCGAATAGTCCGAAGCCGAGTTAACTGATAATTTAAATTTAGTAGTAAAATTGTACTTTGGATTTAGTATTTAAATATATGCCGATATTTACCAACAAGATTGATACACACCGTCTTCGTTTTTAATACAAATACGTTTCAATATACAAACAACAATACAGTTTACAACAACATTTATTACAAATAGTTATTAGAAACAATAATTTATAAACAAAAGTTTCACAAACTTACAAACAATATAAAGTCTTCTTTCTAGTTTGGAACTTCCTTGATATCTTATCGAGGGTTCACAATGAGCGAGTTGACGGAGATATATTTCACTTAACAGGAAGCTAGCAAAATTTGTCTCTCAATGATCACACGCCGATTTTTCTACCTTTGAAGTTAGGTAATGTTTTCATAAAAATACTAATGTCCGATGAGAATCCACTGAAGTTAAATAATTTGTCATATTCGAACTTTGTAAGGG